ACCTTGAGGTCAAAAATTGGACAGAGCAGCAATATATATATATATATATTATATATATATATATATATATATATATATAATATATATATATATATATATATATATATGGGTGGTCCGTGAGTAATTGTACAAAAAGAAACCGTAGATTCTACACTTTAAATGTAAAAATTAATAAAATGTTAATATTAAGAAAGATACAGGGTGTTAAAGTGGAAATTTAAAATATTTATTTTCGCTATAACTTTCATGATTGTAAACATTTATGTATAAATTAACAGTTTATTATCAGCTTTTTATTGTACAAACTGGATATATTTATAGTTGTAACCATTATTTCTGACGGTGTAAAATTGGCACAACCCTATTAAAGATAAACTGAGTGGGATGAATGTATAATGCCAAGTGAATGTTATCGGGAGGTTCCTGCACTTTCTCTTTATTAAATTTACTTTTGAAAATTGTCTTTCACAACTTGCAGTTGAATGAGCTAAAGTTAACACAGACAATACAAATTCATTCAAATTATCAAATAGATGATTATCGTCAAAATTTTTTATTTGACACACTTTAAAATAGAATTTATTTAGATCTTCGAATTCTATTGAAATATCCTGACATTTTAAAGTTTTCTCCATTCGTCATCGATCTTTTGCATTGTTTGTAGGTCTTAAGGATTGCAAATTTGGGGCAATTTTGATATTTGTGGTAAGACTTTGGCAACTAGTAAAACTACTTTTATTTAGAAAGTGTATCTTGCTCATGACTGGATTTGCAAAATCATTCCTTTTTGTACTTTCATACAAGCTGTAATGAAGATACGACTGCAACTATCGTAAAAATCCTACATCATTTCATCATTTAAATCATTATTATTTTTCGTCACCCTAATTCCTAGATACATGTTATTAATGTTGACAAATTTTGTAATATCTTGAGGAACAATTGTTTCAACATTAGTTTGTCTCAACGTACCATAAGTAGTGACTTATGATTATATTCAACTTAATTTACTTTAATATTATAAGATCTAAACCTAATTTTCAAATTTTTAATGTATCATCAAGTAATATTGATGATGATAATCAACAAAAAACTCATTTTCCCCAATTCAGAAATGTAGTGCTATTAAGTCCCCCATTTTAAAATTTAATGTCTGTTTTATCCTTTTAAGTGTGTTATGTTTGTCCCTAAGTGTCCTTAATTGTTTTAGTTTTAATAATTTTAACATATTTGACATTACAATCATCTGCAAAACAACAGTAATCTAATTGAACTTTATCAAAGAAATTTGATAATTACAAGTTAAAGGCATTGCACATCCACACAATTGTACATCTAATTTAATTCATTCATACAACTATCACCTCAATAAAAATTTTTAATAAATTAACACACATTTCGAAAATATATCTCTTGAATAAATATAATTAACTTTTAATGAATTAAATAATGCAGAACATCACTTTCATTTAACAAACAATCACATTACACCTTTTTACAAGAATAAAACTGTTACAATCGTAAAAACTGAAGATCCCCATAATCAGCAATTACAGGATAGTTTGAACTATGTTCTCCCAACCATTAATAAATCGTGTACCGGCATCATTTAATCCCCTTTGTATCGACAGACCTAAAGATGCTTTGCAAATTGTAGAAAGCGAAACCAGAGTCTAGATAGTTAAATTAAACTGATTGTGAGTACGTCTTATTTATTTCTTTTTTACCTATTTGAAATGGACTCACACAAGCAACACATTCATGATTTTAATATTACTTAAAGTAACATTTTATTAACATTGAATCTAGTTGAGAACTTTGTTACAGCTCGTTAATAAAGTGTTTTTGGTGAATTTAATCATTTGTTATCAACGACACGTTAATTTTGTCGAGAAATTCTTAATTTTTTTCCAATTTCGTGTCAATGGTATATTCTTACATTTTTTAAAGACCAAGAAAAATCGGGATTCTCCACACGTGACTGAGTATTAAAAATATACAACACGTAAACTTGTCTTCATTCACCTTAAGGGAATCCCTCTACCGATACGTCGCTGACGAGTACATTATTACAACTTGTAAAATCACTGAATCATCGAAAAAGTAGTGTTTGCAATATAGTAGTGATTCACCTATTCGAAGGCCATTTGTTGCAAATACTGTTCTAAGTATCCACTTAAGTATTTATGAATTTATCATGTTACTTTACTGGTTCTGACTCTGACCGCGAGCACAGATCAGCCCACAGGAAAAAAACAGTTGTTTTTTTTTCCCAATAGCCCAAACGAAAACACTGTTTTTTTTAATTAATTTATTTTTCTTTGTTCTTAATTTATAAATCAAATAAAAATTACTATTCATAATTTTTTTCTAAAACTCAGCATACAAAATTAAATAAACGCAAATGATAATTTCTTCGTGTTTTTTTTTCAGCAATTATTGCAGTAGATTTAATCCAGCGATTATCGCCTTATAAGTATTTACTCACATGTTTAAGAAAATGTATCAGTAATTAAAAATATTTTTTGTAGTCACGGCTTGCTTGAAAATCCAAACAAGACATTGGAGGTTTTAGTCCTGAAAACAGATTGGACGAAATAATCTGATGCAGTATATGAAGATATTGCCACATAGACGCTTCACAACAGTCGGCGGTCGATACTTCTGACTTCGAGTACGAAGAAATAATACAAGAAACAAAAAGAACCTTCCTTTTTTTGGGAAAGACAAAAGCGCTATATGGATAAAGCACCGACCACGTTCGAAAACAAAATATACCAACCAATATATCACCAATTATATCAAAATATTCAGAAAATGTACCAGAAATATTCACGTCAAACTGTTTATATTATTAAAACTTCCCGTAGTACCTTCTTAAATGATTCTTTCCGCTCGTAATGTAACTATAATGTTATATTTTTATCTTTTTTGTGATAAACCTTTTTTTTTTTCATGAAAGTCGTCTGTGAAAACCGGTCGTAGTGATTGATGTTACAGGTTCACTGTTTCATGTTCTCTGCTATAGAGTCTGCAAGTTAAGAATCTATGAAATAGCCCCATTGTATGTAGGTGCATGTACATTAAGGAAGCCTGTTATGACTAAGCTGATTCGTGCTGGTTTTTCGCAGTACTTCAGTCCTATTAGCACATGCCCATCCAATATACATTTTGACATGTGTTTCCCAGTTATGTTACCTTCGGATCCAGGCTTTTACTAGTCGCGGACGATGCTTCTGGCACTCCCACGGCCGGCTCTGGGCCGAAATATTGGAAATATAAAGAACCCATACGAGTATGACAATGTTATGTTCCGCCAGTCTGTCGAGTTCCTCTTGGCATTCCTACACTAGCCTAGGGTTCAAAGATTTTGAGAGCCTCATGGCTGCATGGCTATCTCCGCCTCAGTTCGAAAGCCCTCACGTTAATGTTTCTTTTCTATATAACAATATAACGGTCAAACGTTTCCTTTGTTCCATCCCTCTCGTGGTAAACATCCCTCTCGTGGTAAAGTTACATCGAACCTTCTCATAGCAACAGTAAGTTTTGCCAAAGCTGCCTTACTATGCTGGAGGTTCACCTGTAGAACTCTGATTGGTGGCCTTTGATGGTTTTGAAGGATACCGTTAAAAGTCTGTAATATGCCTTGAAATGAGTAGCCGTCAATGCTTTGTAGAAGAGCTCGTCGATCGTGTAGACTAGGATTTGCGCGTCGTCCTCAATCTTCCGATTTTTCAACAACCAATCTTCCGTTTTAAGGTCTTGATTTTGTTTCCTTTGATGGAATTTTGTTTTCTTCCCACTAATTGCTTTATCAGCCTCTTTCTCAAGGACCATGAGGCGCTTGGGAATATTATTGAGATTGACTACATTTAATTCTGGTTCCCCTCGCTAACCCTTAGAATAAATCACCCTAGAATATCGCTTAGTAGTAACAGAACTAGATATCATCCACAATGAAATGCAGGTCAACTGACAACTACCTTCTCATCCTTGCTTCTACCAGCATATACAACATAGCCCCACACAACAATGTCTACTCTATATATCCTAATCCAGACTCCCTCAAAAAAGAGCGCCGCTGCACCTTGAAAAGGTGAAGACCTAAACGAGGTCGTCACAATTTGTTCTGTCAGAAAGATAAACTAAAACGACAACTAAAAGCGTTTAAGACATTCCCGCGAATGTCTTAAAAAAATTAGTAAAAACATACGACAGAGTTGTATCCATTGTTTTATTTATGACTGAAAAACTAACAATAAAAATTATTCTTAATTGCATTCGTCTATGTGATATTTAGTATGACGATCAATAGACCGGATATGAAAAAGTCGTGCTTTCAAATACGAGATTACTTCCTTTAAAGATCACCTTGTAAACTTTTTAAAATTACGAACTACTTATAGAGATCTATTTAATTTTAAGACGTATAAAGGACACCAATCAACTTATATAGATCCTGTATGTACTCCGTTTGACCTTTCTACCGCTAATGTTTATTAAAAATTAAAGCCAGTCATACGATTTTATGAATGAAATTCTATAAATAGCGATTTTAAATTAGTATACGTTCATTTTTTACAATCAATGAATACTTCAACAATGATCCTAATAATAATCATTTTTATATGTCGTGAGCATAAGATAAAATTACTGAAGGTGATTTTTTCTCAATTGGACTTCACGCAAAAGAGCACACTGCATTTTTTATGAGATTGTCTAAGAAACATTCATATAAGTTATTGAATATTAATAAATTATACGAAAATGAGTCAGAGCTTATTACAAAAAATACCCCTATAAGTATATATATATATATATATATATATATATATATATATATATATATATATATACAGACACATCGTTAATAGTAGCCATGACAACACCATCAAGACTTGTGACAAGATAGGAATTTAAAAAAAACTCTCCATCTTATCTGAAACATCATTAATGCCCATTGTAAAATTTGAAAACATATAAAACACATAGATACTCACCTTAAACTTTGAGTTACTGTACCTGTCCTAAAAATCTCTTCTTGGTCCAAGGACAGGGTACAGTACACATCCCTCTGTGTAGCTGAACCATGAAGTCTGGCTGGTAAATTCTTGGCTTCACCTGAAACAATAAAAAACAATAATAATTAAGAATTAACAATACAACAAGAATGTCTCATAATAATGAGAACAACTGAAGAAATAATAATTAACTATAATAGAAATAGGTATTAAAACTTCTTGCGTTGTACTCACAATAATTTTGCTTGATTGTTATATTGATTTTGTCTAGTATTTCCCTTATTATACAGATCTAATTTCTCCATGGTCTATATTTTTAATAACTTTTTTTGTTTGTCCAAACATATTTTTATATTATTTCAGAATTTTCTTCGTATTCGCATCAACTTAACTGTTTTCCTCGTATTTTCTGGAGTACATTTTCCTGACCTATATGTTGTTATTTCATCATTATTGCACTTGTCTTATTGATTTGCTTTAATTACTCCTACTCAAAGGAATCATATTATGGTACATAACTAAAGAAAATTGGCATGTCAGAAAACTATGAGTGAAATTTCAGTATCCACTGATTACCCAATTTTTAAAAGAAAAAAGACATTGATATTGATAAGAAATAATACTTATAAATATATTCCGTATAATAAATTCCGATAAACTATGTTCCGTAGCCACGACATTTGTTTGTTACTATCTCTCTTGCCTTCAATCTTTCCCTGGATGATTAGTTGAGGGATTGCGTATTTTTTTCCTCTCAGAATATGGCCGAGGTATCCAATTTTTCGTACCTTGATCAAATTGAGTAGTTCTCTCCCAGTATTTGCCTTTCTTCAGACTTCCTCGATTCTCACCCTATCTGTCCATGGTATGCGGAACATTCTTCGCAACGTCCACATTTCGAAGGCCTCCAACTTATTAACGGAAGGTACTCTTAACGTCCATGTTTCCATGCGGTATAACAATATGGACCATACATAGCATTTAACCATCCTGTAGCGGAGATTGAAGGAAAGATTGCGGTTACATAGTAGCGGTTTAAATTTGATAAAAGCTTGTCTTGCTTGTTCGGTACGGCATTTTATTTCTTGTTGAGGATCCCATTGGTCATTCATCATCATTCCCAAGTATTTAAATGTTTTTACTTGATCGATTGGAGCACTATCTACTTGCAGTTGTATTCTTAAAAGTGCGTTTTTTCTTATTGCCATGCATTTAGTTTTTCCAGCATTTATCTTCAAGCCATATATTTTTCCTACGGTGTTTATTTTATTTAACATTAACTGCATATCATGTTCGTTGTCTGTTATTATCGCGGTGTCGTCGGCGTAACGAATGTTGTTTATCGGAAACCCGTTTACCTTTATTCCACACTCAGAGCCTTCCAGTGCCTCTGCAAAAATGTTCTCCACATAGAGATTGAAGAGCATAGGAGAAAAAATACACCCTGTCGCACCCCTCTTAAAATTTCAAATTCTTCTGTGTTGGTTGATTTGTTCAGTCTCACTCGTGCTTTTTGATTCCAATAGAGATTATTGTGGATAACTTTTATATCTTTCTCGTCAATGTTAGCGTTGTGTAGCATTTTTATCATTGTGTCATGTTTTACGGTGTCAAACGGTTTTTCATAATCGAGGAATGTTATGACTATATCCTTTCGTTAATCCGTATGCAGTTCCGATCCGATGTAGTTTTGTACAAGCGTATTTAATCAGAAAGCTGCTTCACGTGTACCCAGTCCGCTCTTGAAACCAAATTGTGTCCCACCGCTTAGATCTTCCAGCTTTACACCTTAAGCAAATGGCTCATAAACTTATCAGTCTGTGGTCTTTGCATTTTGTCGCTCTTTGTGATTTAGGGATCATTATAAATGTTGAATAAAGCCAATCCGTTGGAATGTGGCCGGCGTTATATATGTCATTGAAAATTGTTACCAGCATGTCGATATTATCATCTTCCAACAGTTTTATGGTTTCCGTAGTAATTCCATCCGGTCCATGGGCTTTGCCTAGTTTTGCTACTTTTATAGCATACTCCACCTCGGCGCGAATAATGGGAGGGCCGGATAAATTTCTCGTGGGTAAGTTAGTAGTTGGCAGATTCGGTCTATTATCTGAAAAGAGGGAACGAAGCATAGTTTGCCCAGATTTTAGCTAGTTCTTCCTGTGTATGAACGTAGTTTCCTTGATCATTCTTCAGGCGAGTCTCATGGTGTTTCTTGTATATACTCGAAATTTCTTTGACTTTTTATGTAGTCCAAAGCTGTCTCCCTTTTCTTGTAGTGATTCCAATTCTTCACACCATTCTTTCATCCAGCTTTCCTTTGCATTCTTAATTCTTGCCCTTATCATATGTTGGATTTCCCTGTATTCCTGTTGATACCAATGTATTTGAGAAAACCATTCCAGTGTTTTGTATGAAACTAGTTCAAGCAACAAAAGTAATTTGTTTTTCGCGATATCACCTTGGAAAAAATTGCAAAAGCACTGGGTGTTTGGATCGAAGATCAAACAAAAAAGAGCATGCCATTTAGCACATGAATAATAAAGAAGGCTTTTCGTCTTTACGAAAACCTAAAGGCTGACAACGAATCTTCTAAAAACCAAGAAAGTAAAGGATGATCCAAAAAGATTAAAAAAAAAGAGTTTCTTTACATAACATCAAAATCGTATGAGAATTAGCTTCAGCGGACCAATACGCGGCCAACCAGTATCCAGCTGCTAAACTTAAAGGACTCATAGAAAGGGAAAGATAAGCCAAAACAGGTTTTTAACGCCCACGAAACAGCCACTTTTTTAAGAATGCCTGCTTGTACCTTCATATCGGAAAATGAGAAATCTGCACCAGGCTTTAAAGCAAAAAAGGGCAGGTTGACTGTTTTATCTTGTTCCAATGCCGATTTGTAAGTCTCTAAATCCATGAACTCTTTACATATAATTCAAAACCAATTATCAGTATTTTAGAGGGCAAATCAAAAGGTGTGGGTTACAGCAACATTGTTTATGGACTGGTTGAGTAACTGTTTTGTGCCTTGCGTTAAGCAACAATTATCAACAATTCTCCTAAACAACATCCAGAATTCCTGAACTTAATTGATTCAAATGTAGGAATTAACTTTCTACCTCTAACACCAGCATCTGCATTTACACAATTTTAATTTGCATATAAACAAAATTTAGCTTACTGTGAACAATTCATTAAAATAGGATGTGCAATGGTATTATGTCTTAGGGTGAAGTTCACAGTTTGTGATTTTGAGTTATTGGGAGAAAGACGGTTTGCTAAAAACCATTGAACAAATTACTCTCTGTGGTATTAAAATCCATTAAGTACTGATGTCATTGATTTGGGAAGGGTGATAACTTTGCTAATATGTAGTATTATCAGCAAATATAACTGTGCTTATTGGACCCTCCTGTGAAAATCCCAAGTCATTAATATAAATGAAAAATAATATTTTACCCAGGACTGACCCTCGAAGCACTCCATACTTCAAAAGGTTTTTTTATCAGATTTAAGCTAGTTAAAGAACACATACTGAAATCTATCTGATAGATAAGACTCAACTAATTGAATAGAAATAGGATGAAAGTTATAGGCTTGCAGTTTTTTAAGGGGGATACTACACAATCAAAAACTTTAGTAAGGTCAATGAATGAGACAAGGCAGAGACAAATCTTTTTTTAATAGTATTATTTGTATTTCTAAATTCTTCAAAAGAACTTTTTACTATCTTTCTCTATTAATCATGCTTTTCTCTATAATTTTTCACATTTCTCTTGTTATGTAGTCCCGTTTTGCCTTTCTTGTTTTCATTTCATATTTAGTTTTATACCCTTCCTTTGCTGTTTGAATATTTTTTTTAGTTCTTCTTGTGTTCTTTACAGTTGTAATCAAACCACTCAAATTTTTTTGTTTTTGTTTTTTTTTTGAATTGTTTTTTACTTCTATTTTAACAACACTTCTATGTTTTGTGACTTTTAATCTTCCTAGATTCCCCTGAATGTTGTATTTTTCAATTTTATCTGTACATTTTTATTTATTTTTTCAACTAATAAATGTGTATATTTAAGAGCTGTTTCTAGGGTCAGATTATTTTTCTTTCTTTCTTTTGAGGGTTTGGTTCAGTTTTTTAATTATGAGCAAATTGTCACTATTTGAATCTACATTGGTTGCCATCTCTTCATAATCTTCCTGCGTAAGCTTGGTTTATGTACATATCTTTATGTGAAATCTTTGTGCATATCCCTTATGCCTATAGCATATTTTTAAAATTCTTTTTTCTTTGTGCAAATTTTAAACACAATTTGTGTTTAAAATTTGCATGTTATAGCCCACAAAGTCGATAATATAAAGAGCAATTTGCACATCTATATTTTTGGATTAGAGATTGATTCACGCTTTCATATCTTTTAAGAAATAAATAAAAATGAGTTATTATGAAAGTTACAATTTGACTTTTAAAGGAGCTCCTCCAAATGATATTAAGCTACAGACGCATGCAAAAAAACTTTTGCTGTCAAACTCGAGGTATGAAGTAATATAACATAAATTTATCAGCTGGCTTTCTAAAAACAAAGTAAAATCCTTAAAGTAAATGTGCTTCTATATTTTGGACAATTAAAGCTTACAATGAGTTTAAACAAATATTTTATACTAAAGCAAAATAAATAAATTAACAATACTCTACACTTTGAATATGTGTTTATGAAGTAGAACAAAGCTATACCAAAAAATTTTTACAACACAATTGTCTAAGAAATATATGAAAACATAAAAAATGTACACCACAATTAATAAATCCAGGTAATTATTGCAGACATTACTTTTGAAAGAGCTCCTCAACAATGCCTGTAAGTGGTGGTGGTGACCTACTAATAGATATGAAATGGTAAAGGATATAAAATAATTTGGTGTAGAGATAGCCCTACAAGTGCCAAAAGACACTGTTTATTGCAGGAAAAATTCTGGATTTAAACACAAAATAACTCTCTATATAGAAGTTAGGTCTCTATAGGTTTATAAAGGCCCTTTAAACCACAGTAGTTATAAAATATACTACAATCAGTCAGGTTATTGATCAATCATTGTAATGAAAAATAAAATAACAAACTTGGCTTTAATTTTTTAAATTCTTAGTATTTATTTTTATCACCATATTTATTTTCTTCATACAGACCCCCATCTGTCTTTATAATGTTATGTTCCTTGACATAAAAGGAACAATTACTTTTATCTATGCAAATAAGCCATTGATTATTTTCATTCATTACTAAAGGAATATTAATATGTTTAAAAATGTTATCTGAGATAAGATAATATGACATGGACTTTTCCATCACATTTAAAACATTAATTCTGTTGCTATATTTACTATTACTTAACATGAGCTTTTATTTTGATGCTAAATTCAGCTGTAATTACCTTTAAAAACTGCACTGCATTTATTCATTAATAATAAATAAATATTTTAGGTTTATTATTATCTGTTTGGACAAAATAATTACATTATGCAGTAAGTGATATTATGTTTTCCATATATCCATCTGTATAATAATAATAATAATGGTTTATCATGGTGACTTGTAGAATCTATTTTATTTTATAGTATTAAAAAGTTCATGTTAACTCAAAGCAGTAGCAAAAACAAAATCCATATTTGAATATCTGTTGTCTTTGAAATCATCATATTTTAATGAAAATTAGAAAATTGTTTACAAGCATCAAGGTAGAGCACATGTATGGATGTTGCATATTCATTCAAAATTAATGTTATGACACACTCAACGCAATGGCTGTAATGAGGTATATTAAGTTAAATTTCCTTTCATAATATCTCAGTTCTTTTTCATCACTAGTGTATTAAATGTATAAAAGACAATCCCTTCTTTGTTTCTACAAGATGGAACTTTCAAAGTAGGATCATGCAAACAGTGAAAGAGACAAGGAAGATTTGTCAATTCTTTCTAGGACAATTATTGTGAGTCTGTTTAAAAAAATTTCAGACGTCAGTTGTTACTGTGATAAAAAGTTTTGAGTTTAAGTCAGAAATCCAGAAAACAGTAAATAAGTGATTTTTGATCATTGAAAAAAATAAGACAAATACCTACTCAAAAATATTTTATGATAGTTGAGTGACCATTGGGTAATATGGGTGAGACTGTCTAGGGGCAGCTCTGTAGACTGTTGATGGATGTTCTGTCGAACTTGCTGTTGCTTTGAGAAGGTTCAATGTTGCCTTGAGGCAACAGAGCTGGGTATGCCAGAGCTAAATAAATGGTCTATTGGTATCGAGAGATCCAAAGACTTGTACAATAGTTGATGGAAGATGTATAATAAAGAAATTGGCTGCAGTATGACACATGCAGAACAGCAGGCTTTCAGATAAGAAAAAAATGATTTCTTTAAATCTTATATTCAATATGATTTAATTGACATGTTAAACATTTTCCTAATAAACTTAATGTGTGGTAAATACTTATGAAGCATTTTTTAAATATATTAGGTCTCCTTTTTTAAATATAAATTAGCTCATAAATCACAATGTTTTATTCTGTAATTATTTTTTCTCTGTTCATCATTGTCCTTACAAGGATGTTTTGTAATGAACAGCAAATGGATTATTTCTGGTCTAATACAACTATTTTTAAAAAACGACTTATAACTTGAAATTTGTGATACATAATATTTTAATTTGTCTGCGATTTGGTTTACTATTTTATAGAGAAATAAATTAGTAAGATTCCAGTACAGATACATATAAAAAATATAGGTTCCATATCTTAAACAAGATTTCTAAACATCAAGACTTAATAAAAAAATAATAAAACATAAAATAATAAAAATTCAACAGCAATGAAATTAATAGAATATCATGTAGATGTAGAGGACAGAAACAGAAGAAAATTGAAAGAATAAAAACTAAGTATTACTATGTATAAGTAAACACTATATGCTCTCCAGTTAATATCAAATACAATGTTTAACACACCAATATGAAAAAATGACAAAAAGAACTTTTTAAGTTGAAATCAAAGTGCCATAAAATAAGAAAACCCAAAAGGGGTGGACGAAAGATATTAAAAAATTTTCATATTTGACCTAAGAGAAAATGAATTTTAAAGAAAGGACAGAATGGAATATTATACTTTCATATCAACAAAGAAAGAATAAAAGAAATGAAAGTGAAAGACAATTTCTTCAATGGGAACTACATTATAGTATATACCTATTATATTTTAATTAATATCCAAATGAATCATTTACCTGTATATATTATAATACAACTGCATGATTTCTTAATGATACACTAATACATTTGGGAAGTAATTCCACAATGTATAATATCAATGTTAAATATCACTACTTTACCTTACTTAATTACTTTTTTGTTGAAGTAATGAGGTAAGTATCTACAAATGAGTATTATATGAATAATAAAACTCCTATAGTTTATAGTTTTTGTATGTCAAATAGTTATCATAACTGGCTAATTTGTATCAGTTTTCTGAGAAATTGGGGATATTGTGTTTATATTTGCATTGTTTATCCAGAAAAAAGACTTTTTAGAATGTAAGTTATATCAAAGAATGTCTATATTCTTTGGTTATATTATTAACAAAATAAGTGGTAAATGTATACAAAGATCACAAAAAAGGTGTAAATATATTTTATCAAGATTTTGTAAGTAAATATAAACAAATAGTTGCAACAATTGAATATGACAATTCAGATGAATACAAAATATCAATTAACCAAAAGGAAAAGTGATTTGTTTTTAACTAAAGAAACAAAATATATATGTTATATCCAAAATTTAAGTCACTTTATGTTTATGAAATATTTAAATAGGTTTAAAATTAAAAACTTTCCTGACAGTGCTTACAATTCAAACTGTAACAATGTGTCTATTTGTTTAAGTATTCCTGTTTATTGAACCTTATGTGTAATTTTATTTTCTGATAGACAGGAAGTGAATTATCATAAATGTTTAAAAAACCTGAGTTTTAACCTTTTATGGGTCACATTTTACTCTTATTAAGTATAGTCACAAAAGTGCTAGAAGGATAGAATAGAAGGAGTTTGATGAAGTAAAGAGCCGTGGCAGGTCCATCCAGTATATTGTAGGGCTTCTTTGAGCCGAAATTTAAGGTTCTTGAGACACCTGGATAGACGACCACTTCCTCTACCACCCACGCAAATTTCAATAAGAGTAAGCCACCGTGTTAAACGACCACAGATATCTTCAGTTTGTAATAATAAACAGCTAAATATACAAAGCTCACTTACCAATTTTTATTTTCAATCTTTCTTCTAGACGAACTTTAAATTCGTCAGCCATGATGTTATTATGTTCTATAAAAATGAATGGAGCGTGTTGACATAAGCACCATTAACTTGTACACACTACACACGATGCAGAGTTTTTAATCGTCGATAAATTAAGTAACGTACACTTTTTGCACTGCGACATTATTTAAGAAAAACAAAGACCGTACGCTAGGGTGTTTTTGGTTGGCGTTTATGGTTTACGTTAGTCATATCCTCGATTGAAAGAAAATTATGAATGAAACGGAATTCAAGGCTACAATGCGTATACACGGCGCTCGAATAGCACTGTTGCCAAACATACGAAAAAAGTAATGATTTCAGTAAGTTCTGACACTATAATAATTGTACTTCATTTATGAAATCCAATATTTTAAGTATTAAGTATATATAAGTGAAAGGACTTAAATTCACAAAACTGAATATTTAACGCATGTCTGTTTTGGTCAAACAATTTTTTGTAAAACATCTATAACTTATTTATCTGACCAAAAAATAAAATTCCCTTTCATTAACTTACCCAAATGTATTGTTTCAATGCTCATTTACATATACAAAAGATCCGTGGATACTCACTGAATTTTGTATATATTTTAATAAAAATGACATAAAAGAAATCCAAAATAAAAAAAGCTTTATTATATCTAAGATGATTAAAGACTGTGAGCCTGAGTTCGCCTCCATTCAACACAGGACAAACTGGGTGGAATTGTTGCATGTCTCAATAGCTAATAGGAAACGTTATATGGGTATACAATATCTAGGACATTGTGTGAACAAAGTATAACCAAACAAATACCAACGGACCAACTGAGGATATGAAATAGGGGCTGCACCAATGTCTATAACTGTAGATTTGTTGATTGGACATGACATGAAACACACACACATACATATAAATACACGCATGCAGAAATACAACACAAAAAATACATGCACAGTACATGCACATCTACAACATGCTCAATCGGCAAATCAGCAGACAGCATCACCAGAACTGACTTAGGTGATATTGTACGATTGCTACGTTCCCTATCATATTGTACGATTACTGCGTTCCCAATCCCAAGGTGAAACACCATTATGTCCAGGGGATGCATGGTACAGGAGCAAACGTGTTAAAAAGGCGATGCCGCAGAGAGATTAGGACTTGGCATTCGTGAAACTTGAACTCGTAGTAATAAAATAAAATAAAGGGTTCGATGTCGCTTTGAGTGTACATTGAGTGCCAAATAAAAGATGCATTAGTTGGAGACCTTATATAGAAGGTCAGCCAAATTCCCGATGACTATAAAGAGTACATGTTCATAGGTCAGTAGGGGGTGTAAACTGACGATTCAGAAAACATTTAAATGACTCTCGGGAAGTAATTTACTCGAAATGTCAAGTTGATGGTACTATGGGGAAATTAAAAGCAGTGTTACGTTTTATATTTTGTTTTGTTATCAATGGTATTCATCGCCAATAATAGCGAAACCATTGCACCACTGCAAGATTTTTTAAATCATCTCTGTACCTAAATTATTAAATTTTTAATCAACTGCATATCTCAATTCAATCTCATATATTCTGTAAAATGTACAAAACGCGGCAGCACCGCTTTCCATATCACACATCGTCACTGTTGGCTGCATCTACTCCGAGTTATGCTCCAAGTTGGCTTTTACTAAGGATGGATGAACTTACGGAACCAATCGTGCAATAAGCGAACAGATTTTGTGGGCTCAATTCATTTTCTTTCTAAAAAAGTCTCAACAACGATATATTCATAGATTAGGTATATAAGTCAAGATATATTATTCCAGTTGGACGGGGTTTTCTCTTAAAAGTTGATCTTATTGTACATGTATATAATGTTTATTATTACTTATGTATGTTTTTAGTAAGGATTAATTTTAATTTAATGTCTATTATAATAATTATGAACGGAAAAATTCCCATTATTGTACTATTTTTAAGTGATATCCATTCATTTATTTTTAATAATTCACACGCTATTCCTTGTATCAATAAAGAAACTGTAGCATTTATATCCACCGAAGTAGAACATTCGGATCATTATATTCGTTATCTACATATATCAATATTTGGTTTTCAGATACATTTTCTGCTATTAAAAATAGCATCATCACTTCCGGCCTACTGCTTTTATTGTTTTTACTCATGAGAATGTGTTTTATCTCAACAGATCTGGTTCTTTTTAAGAAGAAAAAACTTTTAATGGAACGAGGAAATCAAAAAACGAAAGTATATGCAAAATAGTTTATTCATCTTATACCTATGTAGTAGATATGACATATAATATTAATTAAAGATTTATTCTCAACAAGCGCGAGGGTCAAACTTTTGTTTCAGCTTCAACTCTGGGATTTTTTTTAATTTGAACCTTATTAAGTCATATTTTTTTCTTGAAATTTATGATGTCATTACGTTTAAAGTGTTAATCCGCAACTTCTTCTCCAAAACATAATTTCCATTGCATTTATTCTGTTTTCCATTCTTTTATTTTTCATCCACGTCTCTGATACATACAGTGAGCAACCTTCCACTATTATCTTAAAGATTTCGTGTTATCATGTAGACGCTGTCGTTTTTGTCTTCTGCTAAAATAATTTGATCATCGGCAAGCAAAAGGCTGTGGATATAGTTGCCGTCAATTTTTACTCCCATCTGTCCAAATTTCTTCAGTTTTTTAGTAAAGTTTAAATATAAGGTTAGTGACAGACAGCATCCTTATCGAAGTCATTTATCGACTATAAACGGTTCTGAGTAATTTTGTCCTACTTATTATATCCTACTATATACTATCCTACTACATTCATTATCTTCGTAAAGTGATTTTACGACATTCCAAATGAAAGCTCTAGAACTTTAGCGTCTAATCATGACATCAGCCAAAGTTCAATAATAAAGTACATAAAAAACATAAATGGCATCTTTCCAAAATGAATTTAGTGCACGAATTAAACGAATAAGAACCGCATAGAAGATTAGAATTTTGCTCCATTTGGAGAATCACATTTAGAAAATGGAGTGATGTAACATAAATCCGTTTTTTGCTAACAATATGAGTTTTTCAGATGTATCCTCATATAATCTAAACGGTACCATAAATAAACAAAACTCTCGATAATGGGAACGAAAAAATCTCACTGGATGATGGAAGTCCATAAGCAATTAAATAATATTAATAAATTTTAAAAGGTTCATGTAGGGTCAGGAATTATAGGCATACAAATTATCGGCCAATTTTGGTAGACGAAAATCTCACTGGTGCAATAATTAGACATGTTGATACAGCAAATAGTACCAGAATTCTTCTTCTTAGGGTGTCTGTCCGTTCCGAACGTTGGCGATCATTCTGGCTATGATCACTGTGTCGGTTGCTATACGGAATAGCTGTGTTGAGGTCTTTCTATACCATGCTCCCGGGTTAGCAAGCCAGGATATTCTTCTTCGTCCTGGGGCCCTTTTTCCTTCAATTTTACCTTGCAAAATACATTGGAGTAGCTCGTATCTGCCTTGATTTCTCATTACATATCCCAAGTACTGCAGCTTACAACCCTTCACGATATTGCCAAATCCACGGTTGTGTTCATCCTCCGAAGTACTTCTTCATTGGTGACTTCGTTTGTCCATGGTATCTTCTATCATAGCTCAAAAGCCTGAAGTTTTGAGGTCATAATCAAGAATGCACTTTTTGCCTTTCCGATGCGACATTTGATCTCTTGGGTGTTGTCCCACGACTCATTGATTATAGTTCCCAAGTAGTTGTACTGTGAGACACGTTCAATTCTCATTTGCTTCACAGTCCATATGTTCTACTTGTTTTCGTTATTTTGTTCATTAAGTTTTGCAGCCCTTCTATGGTATGGGAAAGCACTATTGTATCATCTGTACCAGAATTAATCACGCTATTTACAAATGATAATAACCCGAACATCTTAACTGAAGCTTTGTAGTATCAACAAGATGGAGCACTCCTCATTATGATTTGACCATTCGTGATTATTTGAACGAAATAATTCCAAAACAATCGATTGGAGTAGGGACTTTACAGGTTGTCAGACCTTACTCTGCTGGATTTATTTTTAAGGATATATTAAATCAAAAGTACATGCCACTCGATTAAATTATATCGACGAACTAAACAT